GAGCGGCTTCCGTCCTCCTCGTCGAGGACGTCGTGGATCGTCGATCCTTTTAATATTTCTTCCTCGCTTCGTTGAACGATATCTCTTTCTTTTTTTCTTTTTTTAATTTCTCTTCTCTATCTAATCTCCCTTTCACGCTCCTTCCGAGTTCCGTGGAATTTCTCTCTCTCTTTCTCTCTCTCTCTCATCGTAGATCGTGGCGCTTGCCACTTGGGGCGCCATCGATCCGTCTCTATCTTTTCCTACTGAAATTAAAAGCAGCCTGATATACTCTGTTCGCGCGTGAGCCGATACCAAACATCGATCGAGGTGTTTACCTTTGGTTGGTTGAGATCATCAAATTATATACATATGTATATACTTGTTCTTGAAAAATAAGAGAAATGGATTTAAAATTCAGCTACTTAGTTCTTTTAAACTAAATAAAGTATAAATCTAAATTATAATCCCAATATTTCCGGCAATATCGCACGAAGAAAGAAATCAAGTTTCACATCCACAACCCTATACAAAAAAATTCTATCTATCTTGGTGCTGGTCCAATTATGCTCTCGCTTTAAAGGAGCCGATGAAAGGAGTTCGCGGTGGAGAAGATCGTTTCCCTAGAGGCTAAAAAAAAAAAAATAAAATAAAATAAAATAAAAAGCAGGTATATTTCCGCGAGAAATCACCAGAATGTTGGCAAAAAGAAAAAAAAAGGTGGAACGAAATCTCGGCGAAAATTGCCATTAAAAAGAAAAAAAAAAAGAAAAAAAGAAAGTCGCGAAAAATCTCATTCCCCGGAGCGTGTCAAAGCGGCCGTGCCAACCAATTTTCCCCGTGAAACGTGTCCCTTCACGCTCTATTCCCCTTCTTCCGTCACCAATCTCCTTCAAAACGAAATTTATTCAAAGAGAAACGATCCTGGAGAAAGATTTGAATTCAATCTCTCTCTCTCTCTCTCTCGAGGGTCTGCTCGTATATATCACGAATTATTTGCGAATTAAAAATGCTGATTCGATGTCGCTAAGATTTTTTCGGGAGAGGGGCCAATTTCACTACGGACTTACTCCGCTCGTTGTTTAGATTGAAGGATAGGGAAGGATAATCGCGCGTCGTTGCCAAGAAAACGAGTCCCCTCCCCCTCCTCGTGAGGGAGGGGTAAAGCACACAACCACTTCGTTTTAATCCTATTAACCTATCTCGGGACGCGGTGTTCCTGTACATTTCTTCGCCTCGAGGCCGATGCGATGTATGCGAGCGTTCGTGATCTTCATTCATGAAGGGAAGGCTGTTTATACGTGACGAGAGCTATTTTTTCTTTCTCTTTTAATTTAACGCGAATCTAAAATAGTTCCATCATTGATGATATATTATTATTCTTCATATTTTTCGATATTTTTCGAAACGATGTAAATATCATCGATACGCGAAAAAATTTCGTTCGACATCTATGCAATCTCGTTCCAATTCAACGATATATAAACGAGATTATATAAACTCGTTACAAAGAAGAATGCAAAGTAACCTTTCGATCTTCTAAGAAAAAAGAAAAAAATAAGGAACAAAATAAAGATAATAGGAGGAAAAAAATTGGCGTGTCTCGAATCGCTGCTTATTGTTCGCGACGGGAGGCCGTACAAGTTCGCGCGCGCGGGAACTAGGCCTCCTTTGAAACTCGGTCACGACGTCGTCGTCGGCCATCGTCGTCGAAAAAAAAGGAGGAAAAAGAAGGGAGGAAGGAGAAGAAAAAAGGAAAGAGGAGAAGAACCGATTGTTAGGCTAAGAACAGGGCTGGCAAAACGGATCCCGGAGAGGGCGCGGAAAAGGAGAGCGAGTGATCGAGTCGAGTGTCTCCGGGTAAGTGAAGCCCCTTTCGCCGAGAAACCGTTCGTGCCTTCGAACTAAGAAGCGACAAAGAAAAGCCACCGATGGAAATAACACACTCGACTGCCATCGTTCGATCGATAATCTAAACCTGGATTTCTTTTTTTGTACGTGTGTGTGTACGTCTGTACGCTTTTTTAGAGTATCTAGTCTAGTGTTTGGGAAAAAGTGATTATTGTATATAAGAGGAAATTATGAAAGGGGGGTTCGATGATTGGAAAAGTATACATGTGAGTAAGGTTTCGTGTTTATCGAATATTTTTTTTTTTTTTTGATGGAACGACGATTGCAAAGTTTCGCACGGTCGTTGAAGGTAACTAACTGACTGGCTAAGGTTGTTATTAACGAATCTATGCTTGCCTCGATTTTCCAACGAAGAAATAATGAATGACCGAGCGCGTCTTTACACGATGTGTGAACGGCAGCGATACAGAAGGTTGTATTTCACGAGGAAATTTTTAATGAACGTTTGTTGGGAAGGGTAATCCGAAGAATGATGGATTACAGGATGGGGCGAAAGTTTTCTTTGGCGAAAAATGTGTTTCTGTGACGCATGGTGATGGAGCATTTAAATCTCAATATTTTTATATACGTAACTTTTTGAACGTTATTGATTATTCGTTATTGAAAATGCATTACACTGTGGAACCTTGTGATTGTATCAAATTATTATTGTTCAAACACGTTATTATAAATTAAATTTTCATCCAACTAAGATAATAAAAATTCTCATAATGCGTATATCGTGTACGTCACTTTGTTACGACTTTGATCATAATATATATGTGTATGTGTGTGTAACATAG